AGACATTTTCTGAAGAAGGGTCTAGGCCCAAAACGTCAGCCTTCCTGCTCCTCTGATGCTGCTTGGCCCGCTGTGTTCATCCAGCTCTACACCTTGTTATCTCTTAATTGGGTATTTATCTTTTTATTGTTTGTGGATTCAAGTGAAAAACGGTCACTACAGTTGTATAATAGAGCTACAAGATACCACATATTTGTTCCATGAAATAATTCAGTTGCTGCTTATTCCTACCTTTTCACTTGACCTCAGGAAACTGACAGATGACATTCATGCAATTCCTCAGCATTAAAAAAGGTAATTTTACATGAAATGACTGCTCCCAGTGTTCTTTATAACAACTTTCATTAATATAGCATTTAACAAAATCAAGTCAAAGGAGCATCAAACTAAAATATGACAACTAGCCATGTAAGCAGTCATTAGGACAGATTGCCAAAATCTTAGGAGCGACTGAAAGGAGTAAAGAGGGGTTTAAGGAATTTTAGGGCCTTGCAAGTCCATGGCTTTATTACCAGTTGAGGAGTGAAAATTGTGGATGTGTGGAAGGCATGAATTTGAGAACAGATATTTTAGACTTATCAGGCTTGAGAAGATTAAAAAAGGGAACATTTAGATGTTTGGAAGAAGAATGGCAAACAGAAACATGTTCAGACAACTGTTTTTAAAAAAGGAGTATGTAACAATTCAACAAAACAATTCTAAAATTGAACAATCTGTTACAGCTATTCATTAATCATACTAAATTGCTTGGAACTTACCAAGTTGCAGTGCACCCTTTATTTGATCTAATCCGGATTTTCTTTCGGCTTCATTCCGGAATCGTCTGCGAATCGTAGGGAAAACTTTGGTTTCCCAGGCTTTGACTAAAAGTGCATAGTGATCCTCCTGTGAAAAGACGATATAAGAAATCTCAGAAATCAGGCATAAATAGTTTGACAAACAGCATTCTCAACTCATGGGAGAAAATGATAAGCAAAAAAAATTTCAATCACCCATTGAAAATTAACTTTTTGTTGTTTTGCAAATATTTCTTATTCAATATATTGATGTTCATGTCTCAAGTCCCATAATAAAGAAAATGCACAGGATAAAAGATAGGTATATATGATAGCCCTTGTCATAAAGATGACTTGTTTATCATTTATAACTGATGTGCTCTCCAGAAAAATCAATGGGAATATCTGCAGTGCAATCTCATCAGTTCCCCAGAAAATTGCTGCACCAACTGCGACTGAAGTATTTATGAAATCACAGAATCCCAACAGTGCAGAAAGAGGTCATTCGGCCCATCAAGTCTGCACTGACCCGCCGAAGAGTTTCTCACCCAAACCTGTGCCCCATCCTATTCCCATAACCCTGCATTTTCTGTGGCTAATCCACCTACCCAGGACATCCCTGGACACTATGGGGCAATTTATCATGGCCAATCCATCTAACCTGCACATTTTTGGTCTGTGGGAGGAAACCAAAGCACCTGGTGGAAACCCATGCAGACATGGGGAGAACATGCAAACTCCACACTGACAGTCACCCAAAGCTGGAATCAAATCTGGGTCCCTGGCACTTTGAGACAACAGTGCTAACTACTGAGCCACCATGCTACTGTACTGGGGAGCACAAAGATCTAATTATGCTTTTAATTCATTTTGTGGGAT